ACTATATTAAGCTGTAGTTGTTCTGGTGACTATAGTATCCCTTTAAGAAGTACATGTCATTTCCAGCTTACTAAACACAATGGTTTCTTATAGGAACACTCTTGTAAAATAAATATGCTTAATGTATTTTTAGATTACTCCACCTCCCTCCCCCCCATATCCCGCTGGTATATAGCAGTCCATATATTTTGTGGCATGCAGATGTCATATTGTGGTCCTGAGATGCTATCAGACATGGCCTCCTGCTCCTGGAATTTGGGGATTTATTATTTTTATGTGTAGACTCAAGGGGCTTCCATTCAAGGGTAAATGGGCTCTAAGATAGACAGTGTAAGCATACAAGTTTTTGCTGTGCTGATCACATGCTGTTTTGAAATTCCCCAAGTCGACAACACTAATGCACTATCTGTCCTATAGGTGTTGGCTCTAGGTCTGTGTGTTGGGTTACCGATCCCACTGTGACAGATAGCAAAGATATATAGATATATATTTAAAGAGATTCTATAGTGCCACGAAAACAAACCTGTTTTCCTGGCACCATAGGCTCCTACAGTGCCTTCCTCCTAGAACCTCTTCAGTCACTTACCTTGGTCCAGTGCCAATGTCCCTCAGCCCAGGATCAGGCTCCGCCCACACTTCTCCCCCGCTAAACTTCAGCCTGCGGGGTAGACCTAATGCGCGTGGTTAACACTAATTGGAGGTTAGCCAATGAGATACACCCTGTGTGTATATAAGCTAACCTCCTCTTTGCCTCAGTGCACTGTTGTGGTCTTTGTCTAGCGCGTTATACTCTGTCTGATTAATTGGTTACTGAACTTTGGCTTGTCTTACGTTTACTCTGTTTTCTCTGCTCCCTGACCTCAGCTTGTCTCTTCGTGTTCTGTCTCTCTATTTCCCTTTGACCTTGGCTTGCTTTGACTATTCCTTTGCATAACGCGGCCATTCTAAGGACTGGTATTGAAATGCTGTCTGTTGTGTCCTGTCTGTGTGTTCGGTTCCCTACCAATCGTGACAGCGTGAGGACGTCCAGCGTCAGATAATGGCCCAAAGGTCCGTTTCGATTCTGGAAGTCCCTCCAGTGGATGTCTGGTAGACCGCCTGTCAGGGGCGGACTGACCACTCGGGCATATCGGTCACGGACCGAGGGCCCGAGGCAGTCAGGGGCCCGGCAGCACAGCCTTGTTCCAGCTGGAGAGATCAGAGATCTCTCCAACTGGAACAGCAAAATAATAAAATAAAACTTTTTCATTGATAGGTTGTGGGGCCCCTGATGCAGCGCGGGGCCCCCACAACCTACCGCTCTGCTATTCACACCCCCCCCCATGAGACCTGGCAGCTTCACCTGCTCTCTGCCAGGTCTCCGCGGCTCTGTGTGATGGGAGAGGCGGGGCCAGGAAGTGACCTCACTTCCTGTTTACTCCTTTCACACAGAGCCAGGAGGGGAAGGAGCTGCAGCCTGGGAGAGGAAGCAGAGAGACAGGTAGGCACCAATCACCCCCCCCCCCCTCACTGTCACCAGTCACCCACCCTCACTGTCACCAATCACCCCCCCTCACTGTCACTAGTCACCCCCTCACTGTCACTAGTCACCCCCCCACTGTCACTAGTCACCCCCCCACTGTGTCACTAGTAACCCCCTCCCTCACTCTGTCACTAGTCACCCCCTCACTGTGTCACTAGTATCCCCCTCCCTCACTCTGTCACTAGTCACCCCTTCCCTCCCTCACTCTGTCACTAGTCACCCCCTCCCTCACTCTGTCACTAGTCACCCTCTCCCTCACTCTGTCACAAGAGTGAGTGGGTGACTAGTGACAGAGTGAGGGAGGGGATGACCAGTGACAGAGGGAGGGGGTGACTAGTGACAGAGTGAGGGACGGGGTGATTAGTGACAGAGTAAGGGAGGGGATGACTAGTGACATAGGGAGGGATGGGGTGACACAGTGACAGAGGGAAGAATAGGGTGACACAGTGACAGAGGGAGGGGGTGACTAGTGACAGAGTGCGGGAGTGGGTGACTAGTGACAGAGTGAGGGGATGACTAGTGACAGAGTTAGGGATGGGGTGACTAGTGACAGTCACCATCTCCCTCCCTCTGTCACTAGTCACCATCTCCCTCCCTGTGTCACTAGTCACCATCTCCCTCCCTCTGTCACTAGTCACCATCTCCCTCCCTCTGTCACTAGTCACACCCTCCCTCACAGGTAACCCCCCCGTCACTAGTCACCTCTCCCTCACTCTGTCACTAGTCACCCATTCCCTCCTTCACTCTGTCACTAATCACTCCCTCACTCTGTCACTAGTCACCCTCTCCCTCACTCTGTCACTAGTCACACCCTCCCTCACTCTGTCACTAGAGTGAGGGAATGACTGGTGACAGAGTGAGGGAAGGGGTGACTAGTGGCAGAGTGAGGGAAGGAAGGGATGACTGGTGACAGAGTGAGCGGATGACTGGTGACAGAGTGAGTTAGGGGGATGGCTAGTGACAGAGTGAGTTAGGGGGTGACTAGTGACAGAGTAAGGGACAGAGGGGGTGACTAGTGACAGAAGGAGGGAGGGAGTAGTGACAGAAGGAGGGAGGTGGTGACTGGTGACAGTCACCACCTCCCTCACTCTGTCACTAATAACCCTTTCCTTTCCTCACTCTGCCACTAGTCACCCCTTCCCTCACTCCGTCACTAGTCACCCCCTCACTCTAGTGACAGAGTGAGGGAGGGGATGACTAGTGACAGAGTGAGGGAGGGAAGTGGTGACTAGTGACAGAGGGAGGGGTGACTAGGGACAGAGTGAGGGAGGTTGTGACTAGTGACAGTCACCACCTCCCTCACTGTCACTAGTCACCCCCTCCCTCACTCTCTCACCAGTCATCCCCTCACTCTGTCACTAGTCACCCCTTCCTTCCCTCACTCTGCCACTAGTCACCCCTTCCCTCACTCTATCACCTGTCACCCCCTCACTCTGTCACCTGTCACCCCCTCACTCTGTCACCTGTCACCCCCTCACTCTAGTGACAGAGTGAGGGGGGGTGTGACTAGTGTCAGAGAGAGGGAGGGGGTGACTAGTCACAGAGTGAGGGAGGTGATGATTAGTGACAGAGGGAGGGATGGGGTGACTAGTGACAGTCACCCCCTCCTTCACTCTGTCACTGTGTCACCCCCTTCCTCACTCTGCCACTAGTCACCCCTTCCTTCCCTCACTCTGCCACTAGTCACCCCTTTCCTCACTCTGTCACCTGTCACCCCCTCACTCTGTGACCTGTCACCCCCTCACTCTAGTGACAGAGTGAGGGAGGGGGTGATTAGTGTCATAGAGAGGGAGGGGGTGACTAGTGACAGAGTGAGGGAGGTGATGATTAGTGACAGAGGGAGGGATGGGGTGACTAGTGACAGTCACCCCCTCCTTCACTTTGTCACTGTGTCACCCCCTCCCTCACTCTGTCATCGTGTCACCCCCTTCCTCACTGTCACTAGTCACCCCTTCCTTCCCTCACTCTGCCACTAGTCACCCCTTCCCTCACTCTGTCACCTGTCACCCCTTCACTCTAGTGACAGAGTGAGGGAGGGTGTGACTAGTGACACAGAGAGGGTGGGGGCGACTAGTGACAGAGGGAGGAGTGACTAGGGACAAAGTGAGGGAGGTGGTGACTAGTGACAGTCACCACCTCCCTCACTTTGTCACTAGTCACCACCTCCCTCACTCTGTCACCAGTCATCCCCTCACTCTGCCACTAGTCACCCCTTCCCTCACTCTGTCACCTGTCACCCCCTCACTCTAGTGACAGAGTGAGGGACGGTGTGACTAGTGACAGAGAGAGGGAGGGGGTGACTAGTGACAGAGTGAGGGAGGTTGTGATTAGTGACAGAGGGAGGGATGAGGTGACTAGTGACAGTCACCACCTCCTTCACTCTTTCACTAGTCACCCCCTTCCTCACTCTGTCATTGTGTCACCCCCTTTCTCACTCTTTCACTAGTCATCCCCTTCCTTACTGTCACTAGTCACCCCCTGCCTCTCTCTGTCACTAGTCCCACCCTCCCTCACTCTGTCACTAGAGTGAGGGCGTGACAGGTGACAGAGGGAGGGGATGACTGGTGACCGAGTGAGGGAGGGGGTGACTAGTGACAGAGTAAGAGATGGAGGGGGTGACTAGTGACAGAGTGAGGGAGGTGGTGACTAGTGACAGAGTGAGGGAGGTGGTGACTAGTGACAGTCACCACCTCCCTCACTCTGTCACTAGTCACCCGTTTATTCCCTCACTCTGCCACTAGTCACCCCCTCACTCTAGTGACAGAGTGAGGAAGGGGGTGACTAGTGACAGAGTGAGGAAGGGGGTGACTAGTGACAGAGTGAGGAAGGGGGTGACTAGTAACAGAGGGAGGGGTGACTAGGGACAGAGTGAGGGAGGTGGTGACTAGTGACAGTCACCACCTCCCTCACTCTGTCACTGTGTCACCCCCTCCATCTGTCACTGGTCATCCACTCCCTCCCTCCCTCCCTCTGTCACTGGTCACCCACTCCCTCCCTCACTTTGTCACCAGTCATCCACTCACTCTGTCACTAGTAACCCCTTCCTTCCCTCACTCTGCCACTAGTCACCCCCTCACTCTAGTGACAGAGAGAGGGAGGGAGTGACTAGTGACAGAGTGAGGGAGGGAGTGACTAGTGACAGAGGGAGGGAGGGAGTGACTAGTGACAGAGGGAGGGATGGGGTGACTAGTGACAGTCACCACCTCCTTCACTCTGTCACTGTGTCACCCCCTTCCTCACTCTGTCACTGTGTCACCCCTTCCTCACTCTGTCACTAGTCACCCACTCCCTCCCTCACTCTGTCACTAGTCACCCCCTCTCACTCTTTCACTAGTCACCCCCTCTCTCACTCTGTCACCAGTCATTCCTTCACTCTGTCACCAGTCATCCCTTCCTTCCCTCACTCTGCCACTAGTCATCCCTTCCCTCACTCTGTCACCAGGCATCCCTCACTCTGTCACCAGTCACCCCTTCCTTCCTTCACAGTGACAGAGTTAGGGATGGGGTGACTAGTGACAGAGAGAGGGATGGGGTGACTAGTGACAGAGAGAGGGATGGGGTGACTAGTGACAGAGTGAGGAAGGGGGTGACTAGGGACAGAGGGGGAGACTAGTGACAGAGTGAGGGGGTGACTAGTGACAGTCACCCCTTCCCTCTCTCTGTCACTAGTCACTCCCTCCCTCTGTCATTAGTCACTCCCTCCCTCTGTCACCAGTCACTCCCTCCCTCTGTCACCAGTCACCTCTTCCCTCCCTCACTTTGCCACTAGTCATCTCTTCCCTCCCTCCCCCTCTCTGCCACTAGTCACCCATTCCCTAACTCTGACACTAGTCACCCCCTCTCCCTCCCTCTGTCACCAGTCACCCCCACTCACTGTGTCTCCCCCTCACTCTGCCACCACTCAACCCCTCCTTCCCTCACTCTGCCACCAGGTACCCCCTCACTCTGCCACCTGTCACAACCTCCCACACTCTTCCACCTGTCACCTTCTCCCTCATACACTCTGTCACCTGTCACATATGCATTCACACAGACACTATATAAAAGCACATGTAGTCATCCAGACATGCACAAGTACATTCACACAGACTCAAATACAAACATGCATTGATACACAGGTCTTCACAATATACACATCCAAAGGAATGC